CCCTGATTTGATCATTACACAATGTTTACATGTATCACAACATCACATTGTTCCCCGTAAATATGTAGACTGATTATGTGTCAGTTAAAAAGAAACTCCATGTCAAAAAAAAAGATCATAAAAGCAAAAAAAAAAAAAAAAAAAAAAAAAATCCCATGAAACAACCTTTAGACAGGTGGCTGACTTCTCAGCAGCAACAATTCAATTCAGAAGACAGTAGAATAATATTTTTAGTGCATTTTAAATTATATTGCTAAAATAAAATAGTTGTTGACCTAGAAGTCTGTATCTGGTGAATCCACATTTCAAGAACAAAGATGTAATATAACTGGGAGGGGCCGGGCATGGTGGCTCGTGCCTGTAATTCCAGCACTTCCGGAGGCAGAGGCGGGTGGATTGCTCGAGCTCAAGAGTTCAACACCAGCCTAAGCAGCATAGTGAGATCCCCGCTCCATCTCTACAAAAAATACAAAAAGTAGTTGGGTGTGGTGGTGCATGCCTGTAGTCCCAGCTACTTGGGACGCTGAGGTGGGGAGATCACCACTGTGCTCCAGCCTGGGTGACAGATTGAGACCCCATCTCAAGAGGGGAAAAAAAACAAAAAACTGAGTTTACCACAATGGACCTCACTAAAGGAGAGTCTAAAGAATGTACTTTATTCTCCCTAAGGTCAAGAACAGATAAGGAGGTCTGCTGTCACCAATTCTATTTAACATTGTACTGGAGGTTGTAGCCAGGAAATTAGGCAAGAAAAAAATTAAAGAAGTAAAACCATCTTTATTTGCAGATGATATGTTCCTCTGTATAGAAATGGTAACGAATCAACTAAAGAACTATTAGACTAATAAACACGTTTAGCAAGGTTGCTGGATACACAATCAATGTATACAGATAATTGTATTTCTATACATTAGTAATATATAATCCAAGAAAAATGGATGTAAGAAAAACAATTCCACTTACAATAGCATTAAATTTTTTTTTAAAACTAAAGAATACATTTAACAAAAGAAGAACAATGCTTGCACCCTTAAAACTGTAAAATATGATTGAAATAAATTAAAAGAGACCTAAATAAATGGAAAGATTGCTTCTGTTCATGAACTGGAAGATTTAAGATTATTAAGATGGAAATGCACCCCAAATTGATTTACAGATTCAGTGCCACCCCTATCAAAATCCCAGCTGGCCGTTTTACAGAAATTGACGAGCTGATCCTAAAATTTATATGGAAATGTAAAGGACCAAGAATAGATAAAACAGACTTGAAAAAGAGCAAAGTTGGAGGACCCACACTTCCTGATTTTAAAACTTACTACAAAGCTGAAGTAATTAAGACTGTAGTCCTGGCAAAAAGATTGACATAGAGATCAATGGAAGAGAATTGAGAATCCAGAAATAAAATCATACATTATGAAAAAGGGTGGATGCCAAGACAATTCAATGGGAAAACATATTCTTTTCAACAAATGGCGCTAGAACAACTGGATATCCATATGCAAAAGGATGAAGTTGGATTCTTTCCTTACACCATGCACTAAAATTAACTTACAATGGATCATAAACCTAAATGAAAGAGCTAAAACTATAAAACTCTTATATATAAAACTTAGGAACATAGGTTTCAATGTTAGTGACCTAGGATTAGGCAAAACCTTCTTAGCCATGATGTCAAAAGCACAGGCAGCAAAAGAAAAAAATAGATAAATTGGACTTTATTTAAGATTAAAACATTTGTGCTTTAAAAGATATCATGAAGAAAGTGAAAAGACAACTATAGAATGGGAGAATATATGTGGAGATCATATATCTGATAAAGGACTAGTATCCAGAATATATAAGGAACTCTTACAATTCAATATTAAAAGGACAAATAATAAGCTATTTGAAAAATAGGCAAAGGACTTGAACAGACATTTCTCCAAAGAATATATGCAAATGGACCAGGCACGGTGGCTCACGCCTGTAATCCCAGCACTTTGGGAGGCCAAGGCAGGTGAATCACAAGGTCAGGAGTTTGAGACCAGCCTGGCCAAGATGGTGAAACACCGTCTCTACTAAAAATACAAAAATTAGCCAGATGTGGTGGCGGGCCCCTGTAATCCCAGCTACTCAGGAGGCTGAGGCAGGAGAATCTCTTGCACCTGGGAGGTGGAGGTTGCAGTGAGCCGAGATCGTACCACTGCACTCTAGCCTGAGCAATAAGAGCAAAACTCCATCTCAAGAAAAAAAAAAAAAAGAATATATGCAAATGGCCTATCAGCACATGAAAACAGGAAAATGCAAATCAAAACTACAATGAAATACCACTTCACACACACAAGGAGGGAAATTATAAAAAAAAAAAAAGGAAAAGAAAAAGAATAAAATATCAAGTGTCGGCAAGGCTGCTGAGGAATGGAAACCCTTGCACATTGCTGGTGGGAAGGTAAGATGGTGCAGCCACCTTAGAAAACAGTTCAACGATTCTTCGAAATCTTAAACACAGAGTAATCATATGACCCAGCAATTTCACTCCTAGATATACACCCAAGAAAACTGAAAACGTACATCTACATAAAAATGTACACACAAATGCTCATAGGAGCATTATTCATAATAGCCAAAAAGTGGAAACAACCTAAATATAACTTTGTGGATGAATGCATATGTAAAATGTGGTATATTCATACAATGGATTATTATTTGAGAACAAAAAACATGGAGTACATGCTGTAACACAATGAGTTTTGAAAACATTATACTAAGTGAAAGAAGTCAGCCACAAAAGACCACATATTGTATGATTCCATTTACACGAAATGTCAAAAATAGGGAACTCTACAGAGACAGAAAGTAGATTAGTGGTTGCCTAGGGCTGGGAGATTTGAGGAAAAATGTGGAGTGATTACCAAGGGTTATAAAGTTTCTCACTGGGATGACGGAAATGTCCTAAAGTTGATTGTGGTGGTGGTTGCAAATCTCTGTGAATATATTAAAAATCATTGAATTCTACAATTTAAATGGATGAATTCTATGGTATGCAAACCATATCTCAATAAAGCTTTTTAAAAAATATACCCTAGACAGAAAGAAAAATATCTGAGAGTTGGAAATTCTGAGATACAAGAAAGAATGGTGGGCAAAGATAATTATACATGTGTGGTTAAACTCAAAACATAATGACTGCATGTACACGAGATATAATGTCTGATTGTGGGGAGCTGATTTCACAAAATAAAACTAAAATATTGGACAATAGTAGCTGGTAGGTGGAAGGAGAATAAAAGGAATTAAAGTGTTATGAGATCTTTGTATTGTTTGGAAAGAGAGTAAAATCATATTGACTTTATCTTAGTTATGTTAAGTAAGAATGTTGAACTGTTAAGGATAAGGATATACAGCCATGTTTCACATAATGATGTTTTGGTTAACGACAGACCTCATAAACAATGGAGATCCCGTAAGATTATAATGGGGCTGAAAAATTCCGATCACCTACTCACCTAGTGATATCGTAGGCATCAGCCATCATAACATTGTAGCACAATGCATTATATTTCCTACATTTAGGTATGTTTAGATACACAAATGTTTATCACTGTGTTACAATTGCCTACAGTATTCAGTACAGTAATATGCTATAGAGGTTTGTAGTCTAGGAGCCATGAGCTATATATACCATGTAGCTTTAGTATGTAGTAGGCTATACCATCTAGTTAGTGTTTAAATATAATCTATGATGTTTGTACAATGACAAAATCACCTAATGACAAATTTCTCAGGATGTATTCCCATCGTTAAGTGGCATATGACTGTATAGAGAAAATAAAACTGCTTGACTAGTAAGGGGGAAATGGAACTAAACACATATACAAAACTAGATCTGATCATGACTGACCAGATAAGCAGATCACAGAGGAGCTGTACTTATGGGTTAAGTCCCGTAAAGAAGGCAAAACTCACCTAAAAACAGATAGACATTTTGAGTGCTGGGTTTTTAGGCATTAGTGGATAACATTACTTTTTGTTCATAATGTTAGTTTTCTCCCTTTGGTTGTTCATACTGTATGTTTTCAGTGAGGATCAAATTCGTTTAATTCAAAATGAGGCAAGAAAGAGAAAAAAACTGAAAAAGCTGTACACATAGCACAAAATAAGATGATGGAAACACACCCAAATGTATCAGTAATCACAAGCAATATAAATGGACTCAGTGTTCTGATGAAAAGATAAATTTTTCTGACAAAATTAAAAATTAAATTCCAGCTCTAAGCTAGTTATTTTATTTTTATCATTGAGACTACATGCTTATATATTTTTATTTTTATTTATTTTATTTTTTGTACAAAAGGCAGCCCCACTGTGTTTCCCACGCTGGTCTCGAACTCCTGGACTCAAGTGATCCTCCCACCTCAGCTTCTCAAAGTGGTGGGACTAAAAGTATAAGCCACTGTGCCTGGCCTATATATTTTTTAAAATATCAGCTTTATTGAGATATAATTCATTTACCACACAATTCACCAATTTAAAGTGTACAACTGAATGGTTTTTAGTATATTCACAGATTTGTGCAACCAACAATTTTAGAACATTTTTAATTGTCTCCAACTTACTGTATTGAGAGTTTACAGGCCATAACACAGGGAAGAGGAGTCCTAGGGGAGCCTGTCAGCTTCCTGAGTTAAGGTAATGGAACTGGGAGTTACAAGAGGCCAAAAAGTCAAGTTCACAGGGAAGAGTCCTGGAAAAGAGAGAGCTATACAGAGAGAGAATTCTGGAGGTAGGCTATCCTCCTTGAATATTCAAATGAGTACTGATTCATGCTTGCATGTGAGGAGCATACCCAAATCTGGGGGTATAAAACCACTTGACAAGATTAGAGCTCGCACAGGTCTGGGGATAGTTCTTGTTAGCACCAGTCAGGATTTTTAAAATGTCATAATTTATGAATCATGGGTGGAATATTCAAAAGGGTTGTCTCAGTGTTGAGGGAAAATTAGCCCAAGACTCAATGTTTCTCTGGTCCCACCTAATAAAGTTTAAAAGCAAGACCTACAAGAATCCATCTGTTTCCAACCATCTTTACTGAATTCCAAAACAATGCTCAAGAATAGTCATAGGAATTCTCAAATATGCTACATCTAACAAGATACAATTCATAACGTCTGCCATTCAACTGAAAATTACCAGGGAGGCAGATAAAAACTACAACACTTGAGATAAAAATATTCTGGGATTAATGGCAGCTTAAACACTGCAAGTGAACTTGAAGTCGTTGCAATAGAAATTAACCAAAAGAAACATGGCTAGAAAAGGAACCAAAAAAACTAAAAACCATGAATATAGTATCAGTGAGATGTGGGAACAACTTCAAGCAGCCTAACAGATGTGCAAATGGAATCTTCAAAGGAAGGAAGGGAGGCTAAAAAATATTTGAAGAAATAATGACTACAATTTTTCCAAATTTTATTATATAAATATACACAGAAAATAGGAAGAAAATGACACTAAGCCACCATTATAATCAAGTTATTTAAAATCACTGATAAAGACAAAATCTTAAAAGCAGCCAGAAAAAAAAGACACATTATGAACAGAAGAAGGAAGATAAAAATGACAGCAGACTCTGTGTTGAAAATAATGCAAGCCAGAAGGCAGAGGGGCATTAAAAATGTTTGCCAACCTAGAATTCTTTATTCGGCAGGAATATTTTTCAAAAACAGAAGTGAAATTAAATATTTTCTGACATACAAAAGCTGACACATTTCATGACTAGCAAACCTGCACTATAGAAAATGTTAAATAATGTCCTTCAAAAGAACAAAAATGATACCAGATGAAAATCTGGATCTACACAAACGAATAAAAGGCACAAAAATGTTAACTATATGAGTATAAAATGTATTTATTATTATTTAAATATCTTTAAAATATAGTTTACCATTTAAAGCAAAAAAATGGCAATGTGGTGGAATTTTATAGTACATGTAGAAGTAAAATGTATGATAAAAATGGCACAAAGACAGGAAGAGGAGAAATAGTATACTCTTGTACACACTTTATACTCATGAAGTGGTGTTGTATCACTTGCAAGTAAACCAATAAGTTTTATAGTTATACTATAACTATGTACTATAAGTTTTCTATTTATAACTATGTACTATAAGTTTTATAGTTATACTATAACTACGTACTATAAGTTTTATAGTTATACTATAACTACGTACTATAAGTTTTATAGTTATACTATACTATAAAACCTAAACACTAAAATAACACAACAAAGGATTACAGGCAATCAGATAAAAAACGAGATGAAAATACTCAAAAGAAGGCAGAAAAAGGAGAAAACTGGGATCTTCAAGGAACATATGAGACACAGAGAAAATAAGTAACAAAATGCTAGATTTAAATTTAACCGTATTAGTAATCACATTAATATGAATGGCCTAAACACCCCAGTTAAAAGGAAGAGATTGTCAGATTGAATAGACAAGCAAGACTTAATTATATGATGCCTATAAATATAAAGACACAAATAGGTTAAAAGTATGGAAAAAAGTTACACTGGCTAACACTAATCAAAAGAAAACTGAAGTAAGCATATTAATATTAAACAAAGTAGATTTCAGAGCAAAGACTATGCCCAAGTATAATGAGTGTCATTTCAAAATGATAGAGGGGTGAATTCATCAAGGAAAAAAAAATAACAATCCTAAATATTTATGCTCCTAACAAAAGAGCTTCAAAGCCCAAATTGACAGAACTACAAGGGGAAATAGAGAAATCCATAATTGCAGTTGGAGAGTTCAACAGTCTTCTCTCAAGGACAACTAAGACAAAACAGAAATTTAATAAGTATACTGATGACTTGAACAAGTCTATCACTTCAATCTAATATTTGTAAAACACTCCACTCACAAGACAAGAACACACATTCTTTTTCTAAAGTACACATAGATAATTTACCAAGAGAGACTATATTCTTGGCCACAAAACAAGTTGCTATACATTTTACAGCATTCAAATCAAACAAGGTATGTTTTTTGACCATAAAGAAATTAAATTATAAATTATTAATAGGAAGTCACCTGGAAAATCTCGAAGTATTTGGAAACTAATATTTGAAAAGTTCTAGGTAACTCATTGGTGAAAGAAGAAATCAAAAGGAAATTATTGTGAATTAAATGAAAATGGAAATGCGATATTAAAAATTAAGGGATGCAGGTAAAGCAATATTTA